CATCGTAGCTCAGTCCAAATTTTGTTCCCCTGTTTCAGCACCTGGAAAAAGATAATTGTAACCAGAAATGAAGTTAAATAGCTGAAAATATGAAAATGCAAATATTGAAAATCACAAATTCCATTTAGTACTATTGACCACCTTCTTCAATTTTTATGAGATCTTCCCATTTTTCTTCAACAGCTTCTGAATCCACAGCCTCCCTAAGCCAATCTTGAGTGCATATTAAGCCTTGAACAGTCTTCGGAGTTAAAGAGCTCCTAAAAGCATCCAAAACCTTCCCACTCCTGCTAAAAATAGGTTCGACGCCACAGTAGATATAGGGACTGCTAAAATATCATGAGCCATCAAAGAAAGAATCAAAAACCTTGGACTGTTAACCTTCCACCAGGTCAGCAAATCAAATGTGGGATAATCTGATTCGGTTGTCTCCCTCAAATACTTCTCCAAATCTGAGTTTTCAATATTTCCACCACTTTCCAAATTTTTCTTCTTTAATAGCTCTACCCTAAATTGATCCCTAAGCATCTTTGAACGTTCAATGTCTATCGGAGAAGATCTTTTCCCCAATACAGTAGATTGAGAAGAACTACTCCCAACAGTGGAGCAAGATGAACTAAATCTAGAATCAGATGCATGGATTCTAACATATTCCGCGTACAACTCCCTCAAAGAACTTTTAACAAAATCTAGTTTCGTTTTCCCATCAATTTCTCCATACAATTTATCTAGCATAATTTCCATGTAATCAAACTTATTTCTTGGATCTAAAACAGATGCTATGTAAAGAACAACATTCATCTTTTCAATGTTAAATTTATCAAACTTGGATTTCATCATTAAAGCGATAGCTTGCTATTCAGGATCTACAGTTTTATTAATGGTTTTCGTCAACAACACTTCAATGCAAGTAATATTTTCAAAAAAGGAATCCGAAGAGACAGATTTGGTACGAGATACCTTCAACATAATCTCATAAAAATGTTGAAGAAGACAAGCCACTCTCCTAGCTTCTAACCAATCCAATGCCGTAGGTAGTCCAGGCCTTGAATTTTTTGGATCCTCAGGAACATGTTTCAGAGTGTCCCTATAGTATGGTTCACCTAATTCATACCTCTTAAATGTTCTTTCATAAGCTTGGGCAGTTTCTAACATCAAATATGTGAAATTTCACCTTGTACAAACATTTAAAATCAGATTCTTAGAGCTATTACATTTTTCTATTTTAGCACATTTCCTAAACTTTGCAATTCTTTGAGGGGACTGCCTAATATATTTTATTGCAGCTCTAATCCTTTCAACAAATTTACCAATATGACTCAAACCATCCTTAACAACAAGATTCATTACATGAGCCATACAACGAATATGCAACCATTTTGCACCCAAAAGACATTTTTCACGATAAGCAAATTGTTCTTGCAAATATTCCATAGCAACGTCATTAGCACTTGCATTGTCAACAGAGATAGTAAACACATTTTTAATTTCCCAATCCAACAAACAATCCTCAATTGATGTCCCAATATCAACACCTCTATGACTCGAAATAGGGCAGAAACTCAAGATTTTCTTTTTCATATTCCAAATGTTATCAACATAATGGGTAGTAAGACACATAGTTAATCTGTTGCAAAAAAGTCCAAGTATCGGTGGTCAAACAGATTCTACTAACAACTGAACTAACCAATAGAAACAAGAAAAATAAAAAATAATAGTCAGGCATTATGACCAAGACAGATCGAGATAGGTGTTTCCAATCAGATAGTTGAACAAACTAAACAGGAGCTCAAAAATAGCTTAATGAAACAAACTGTGATAAACTAAATATGCAAATCATCCAATCGCAATCGCAAATTACAGAGCAAAAAAATCACCAACTCGTGGTCATAACAAAATTCAACTATATCCTAATCTAGTCCAAGCTTATGCAAGAAAAACGGAACAAAAGAAAATGATTCAGAACAACATACATTTTGAAAAGCTTGTTGGGGGCACCGCCGGTAACCTTAGCAACACAGAGGAGGGAGAGCTCGGCTTAAAAAATCAAGTATCGACTTCGACTGTGGATTGACCGGAGTGTTCAACAACCTTTTGAAATCAAAAATTCAGAATGAAAGACTAGATTTAGAGTCTAGATCTGCAGAATTCTCATTACTCTGCTGATTGACTTGTATTTTGGTCACTTGTATTCTGGTTGACTAGAGGAGACGCATGTGAGGAATGAGGGAGTGACCGGAGTTTACTTTCGAAAATCGGAATGAGGGAAATCGGAGACAGAGGGAGGACCAGATCTGAAAGGGACTTAAGATTGATTTGGTCCGTTTGAAGGAGATTGATGGTCAGCCGAATTGTTTAAGAAAGGTGACCGGTGAAATGAAGTGAAGGAACGGCGGATTTGTCGGTCGGATTGACGGATTATGATGGAAGTGAAAGGAAGAACGGCAGCACCGTTACGCATCAGCAGCCAAAAAGAAAAAGAATAAGAGGTAAATGAGGAGGAGGAAAGTGGAAACCCTACTTACCATTTACCTATATATATTTTTTTAAAAAAAATAAATTAATAATAATAAAATCGCCCAAACAGAAATTCCCTCGCCCGCACCCGCACCGAAATGTGGTGCACCCCAATTAATCTGATTAACCGACCCATTTTCACTAAATCGGGTTCAGTATGGGCGGGTATTCGGTTTGACCCACTTAAGTGACAGCCGTAAGTATGATTTTTGAAGAAATTAAGGCTCCACTTGGTTAGATTGAATTGCAATTGAATTGGAATTACAATACTATTAAATTGAAATGAGATATTAATATTGTAATTCAATATCAATTCTCTTGTTTGGGAGATTTTGAAAATTTACTAGAATTAAGGTTCTAATTCCAATTCTTGCGTTTGGATGCATAAAAATTTGGATACTTTAGAATTGAAATTAGTTTGTTATTGTATAACTAATACTAGTACAATTTATACTTCTTGTCAAAAACTTTTTTTTAAAAAAAAACTTATTTTATTATGGATATGTACAACACAAAAAAATAAATAAATTCATTATTTATATGTATATTTGACTACTTTGTGGTTGTTTAACTAATACAATTTTTACTTTTTTTTTTGTTAAAACTAATTATTATTAATTAATTTGCTATATCAATTTTGTAATTTATTATGTACACACATTTTTGTTGGAAACAAAAAGAATATTATTACGTATAAGAACTATTAATATGATACATAAAATTCTCACTTAATACACAAACAAGTAACACGTGAAACATATTTGTTTTTCTCTCTTTTATTATTTTCCAAAATTTTTAATTTTTGATGTTTTGATTCATATCAAAAATTAAAAAGATTTTTATTATATAACATTGTAAATTCAGTCTATGAATATTGAGGTTCATTTATACATAGATTAACATTAGTATATGATATATGCTTAAATATTTTTATTTTTATTATATAATTATATATGAAATAATAGATACTTAAAACTCAACTTACATAATTTTTTGTGAAAAGATGCCATGAATAGTTAAAATGTATTATAATATAGGTGTATATATGAAAATGTATTATAATATAGGTGTATATATGGAACAATTTCTATTAAAAAAATGAAAATGTTATGTTGTTTACTATGTCATAATATAATAAAAATATTAACCAAAACTAAAATATTTAGTTATTAATTGTTTTTGGTTACAGCAATACGTTTGATTTTATTTTGTAAAAAAGATACAATGTTAATTTTAGATTTATTTCGTTGATAATTATTAAAATGATATATATGAAATAATAATAATAATAATGAGACAAACAACCCAAAAAAAGAAAAAAAAAGAAAAGAAAAACGCCAAGAAGCGCTGAAAGCAAAAAAAAAAAAAGAAAAAGAAAAAAGCTAAAAAAAATAAAATTATAAAAAATATATCAAGAAAAGGCCAAAGACAAAAATTGATAGGACGATCCGTTTAGGTTATAACCCAGAAATGACCCGACTATGACCCGTATATTTTTTTTAAGTGTCTTGAATTTGAATTCTAATTATTTGGTCCCACAAAAGAATTAAAAATAAAGAATTGAGCCCCATTTGAATTATAATTACAATTTTGGATCTTTATTTTTAGCAACCAAACACAAGAATTGGAATTATAGAGCTCCAATTCCAATTCTGGTCCGAATTCAATGCAACCAAACAAAGCCTAAGAGAAATCGTGATGACTGAAAATAAAGTTGGCAACACCGAAGAAAAAAAAACCCCAACCTCAATTTTTTCAGTTCTTCTTCCGTAAGAAGCTTCAGTAACTTGAATCATGGAGATGAATCGAACCAATGGATTCATTTTCGCGATTTAGCCTAGCTCGATACACATTGCTGTAGATTCGTTCGTTTCAATTCCGTTGAGAAATCTTTCCAAGGGTTCTTAGTATTAGCACTTTTGGCCTTTTGGGGGAAGGAGGTGGAGGAGGAGGAGATCGGTTTAGATTGTATGAGCCTGGAGCTCATAGTGCTAATCTTGGCAAGTATGTTCTTTTCTGCTTTCCTTTGACTGCACTATTGTTTTTTTGCTGATTATTAGTTTATGGTATTATTTATAAGACTCCAGCCAACTCTTTTCCTCTAATTCCTGATTATCATGAGACACTGAATAGTTTTAAGGCTTTTTTTGGGTTTCTGTGTAATGTTGTCAAAGATATGCAGCCCTATAGTAGGTATATCCAATTGCAAAATTGTCAGTTAGTATTTATGGTTCAGGCTAAATAGGTGATATGGTTGATTATTTAATTCCAAAAGCGTTTTTTTAAAACATTTATGCAAGTGGATTGCTGTAAATAATTTGCAATTGATTGCAGTATATAGTGCCTTATAGGTTTATTATGGCCTGAAGTGCAGAAATGTTATACATGAGGTTGACTAAGTTACCGCTTCTTACCTTTTAGCCTGGGGACAGTAAGATGCTAACCTAGATATTCTGTCTGTTTCTGTTCTTAGCTTGTCAGAAATGAAAAGGGTAATTGACACATTGAAGGTGTTGGTCAAAGGCATGGATGCCATGAGCAAAGATGGTCCTGAAGCATTGGGAAAGACAATCAGAGATGAGGTGCTTTCACATTCCCCCACCCCCCGTGTTACCATGAAGTAGACCTCATATTTTGGAATTTAACAGATATGTTGATAATTTACTTCTTTTCCTTTCCTTGTGTTTTTACTTCTCTGATTTAGTAGGTCTAAAACAAGGACCTCTAGGTCTTTGTCATGCATTGAATGTATAGATTCTTCATTTGTGGAAATCATCAGCTGTTCTTCTTGTAGTGGTAACAGTTTCTTCTGGCAAGTATCATTTTCTCACTGTTGCCTCTTTGTGGTTTCTTCTGTGCTCCTATAATTCAGTCGAGAAGGATAAAAGAGTCGGATGCAACTCTATCAGCAGAGCAGACCCTGTACAACTTTGTCCCTCCAGGAATAGTGGATAAGGTTGAGGCGACTCATGAGATGAACCAAAAGCAGCAGCAGCCGACAAGTGATTTGGACTACCAGAATGCCCTAGATGAGGAGATCCGACAAGTGATTTACAAGGAGAGCTTGAGTGAGGCAGTGATGAATTTAGCTTTGGAGGAGGTGCAGCAGAACAGTAATGGCCGTGGAGGGAATGTGGGAAGTTTGTATTTTTATGGGGTAGATGCTAAGAGTGAGATTGGAATGGTGGAAGCTATGGGAGTTAATGGGAAAGTTTTGGAAGGGAGTGAAGGTGAGAGGAGTAGAAGTGGAAATGACAGTGCAGTTTCGGGGCAGTATGGGCATGATGGTGCTGAAGCGGAGGGGAAGGGGGAGGATGAGGGTAATGACAAGACTGGCGAAAATGGTAGTTTTGGTGGTAATGGGAACTTTAGTAAGAAACAGTTTCAGTATCCTGTAAGGATTGATGCAGAGGATTGTCCATTTTATATGAAGACAGGGAACTGTAAATTTGGAATGAATTGCAAATTTAATCATCCCCCCAAGAGGCGGAACCAGGTAAATTGAGGTTCTTGAAAATACCGCATTTGATGTTTTTGTTTGCTGTTATGTTGAAGAATCACTATGCTGATCTTTTATAGAGGTAGGATATCTTGTGTTGGCTTGTTAATTGGATGATACTAATAATTGTCTGTTCAAGGTGATCACAACATTTGTGTTTATTGTTCTTCATTCAAGTTGTGTTTATCTTAGTTCTGTGATACTGTGGACTTGTTGATCTCTAAATTTAACTCATGCGATTTGTTGCTGGCTTTATTTGCCATTAGATTGAACCAGTATCTTCGTGGTTTGAAATCATATCGGAAGGAGCTTTGTATTACTCAATGCAATATAATCCATTTTAAGGTTGCAGAATGAAAGTATTTGTTGATCTGGCCAGCGTTTAGGGAATAGATATCTCGTAGTATAGCTAATATGAGCTTACAGTTGTGAAGAATTATGAGGTTATTTTCAATGTTTTTGACATTGCCTCCATGCATTTAGCTCTCCTTCCTCTGCCCTTGTTTTTGTAGGTGGGAACAAGAGACAGATCAAAGACAAGGACTGAAGACTTGGACCGTGGACCACACACTGAATGCAAGGTTATTGAAATGTCTTTGCTTGCTATTAAATTCTATAAGTTCAACTCATCATATTGGAAAAGTGAACCTTTGGAAGACAACTACCAATATTCATGGTAAACTAAGACGACTCAAATTGTTAGTTAAAATTTGTCTGTAAGAAGTCCAGACTGTCCCTTATGCTGAAAGATCTGTAATTGGCAACGGTTCCCAGGAGTAATACATTGTTGAAGACCTTTCTTGACTCAATTGTTGAAATTCAGCTGTGTCAACTATCATTATTGGGTATGGGAGTAATGTCTTTTACATTAAAGTATCAATGATCTAATCCTTCTTGTGAATTGGGAAATAGTGAAATATGTTGCCCTGTAAAGTCTTTGCTGTGAAGCTGTAGAAAAAAAGTGTTGCAATGCCTCAAATGGTGGAGTGTCTACTTAGCCTTTAATTTTGTTAGGGTTCCTCTGTGAATTGTTCTTTGCATTATGGGCTTTTTCTTGGATCCTTTAAATATATGACTTTATTGTATGGAATATGCATATCTGTCTGTATTTCTTTTGAGCCTCTGTGATTGAAATTCGTAAAGCTCATTACAAAAGTACTGTTAATTGTTATGGGTAGTAGTAAATCTGATGACTGTTTTGGCTGTTGTGGTAGCATGAAGAAGCCCATATTGATATACAACTTACACTATTGTAAAAGTTTTTTATTTGTCTATGGTACATGCATGCAAGGGATGCTGATTCATGTAGTTTTCATGACTTGATTATTAAATGTAGTATGCGTCTTTCTTTGTCATACTCATCCTTAATGATTTAATTGCATTTAACCTAAACTGGTGTTGTTTCGTACCAAATTCTGGTATCTAGCTTCTTTTTTTTTTTTTTACTCCTTGGCATTTCTCTCCTATAAAGTATACTTCATACTTATGCAACAATAACTGTCTCATTGACACCTAAGGAGCTCTATCAACATCTGATGAGGTATTTGGGGCTTTGCATTCGTATACATTGTCTGAATTCTGAAAAAGGACTGTCTAGTTTAGTATGAAAGGAATGGATTGGCTAGTCTAGCTGATGTAACTTTTTGTTTTCCTTTTCCTTGTTTCAAACTTGTTGAACTTCTTTTTGTTTTTGATGTTTGCTTCCAGTATTATCTGACATCAGGGGGCTGCAAATTTGGCAATTCCTGCAAGTACAGTCATAACAAGGGAAGAAGCTCTGTATCACCTATCTTGGAGTTCAACTTCCTGGGACTTCCAATCCGATTGGTACCATATATTTGTATTTTGGAATTGATTTGTTTCCTTCATTTGCTAGGTTTGTTAACCCTTTTGTGGAATTTCATTTGAAACAGGGAGAAAGAGAATGTCCCTACTACATGCGTACTGGTTCCTGCAAGTATGGATCGAATTGCAAGTTTAATCATCCTGATCCTACACCTGCAGCTGGGAATGACCTCGCATCTGGCTTTGGTAATATTGGATCCATTAAGTTGCAGGGTGCATCCCAGCCAACTGACATTTCATGGTCCTCTTCATCAGTGATTCTTCCACAAAGCCCCACCGTTCCACTAGATTCTGATTGGAACGGTTACCAGGTAGTTTTTGGGTCACTCCATGAATGGGAATCATAACTTCCTTGTCTACTTCTGGTGTATGGTTCTTGTAAGATGGATGGAAATTGATTTACTGTTCGGTTGTTGCTGTTGTCTAAAGCTCTTGGGTTCACTTTATTATAGAGTAATTTGAGTCTGCATTGAACTACTTATGTCATTGGGAGAATTCTAAGGATCGTGTGCCCCTATTTCTTGTGTGCATATCTGTGATGGTGGATAACATATTGGGTCTCACTTCTCATGTAGATTGTTGCGTGTAAAAGACATCTCGATGAACTTGGTCTTTGTTTGACGTGATGGTAGCTTACAGAAAAGAATCTCTTTTCACTTTCCTCATCTGTGAGCATTACAAAGACAAACCACACTGAACTAATTCTTAATTTGGTATTATTTATCACATTCTTCCGTTAGCATACATTCACCACTTTCGCTTTGGTTTACCAGCGGTTCATTTGGTAAATTGATTCTTGATAATTCTGATTTTATGGATTGAGCTCTTCTACAAAATTATTTTGGATTTATAAATTGGACCTCACTCAGTTTCACTTGCTAAAGCCTCACTTTATTTGTGCAATTGTTTGTTTTTATTGCATTGAGGCTCCGAGCTACCCAGCATCATCAGATGGGAGTTTACCTACACCTCCAGCATTTGCTATGAATAACATGGGGATGGAGACCAAGTTGTTTACTAGTCATCATCTGCAACCAATTCCAGTTAATGAATTTCCTCAACGGCCTGGTCAACCTGACTGCAGTTACTTCTTGAGAACTGGGGACTGCAAGTACAAAGCTACCTGCAGATTTAACCATCCGAAGCCCCAAAGTTCCCAACCGCTGCCTTGTGTTCTAAGTGAGAAAGGCTTGCCCCTACGACCCGTGAGTTCTTTTAATTGGGAATTCCTTTTGTTACTTTTGTTGTTTAGCCATGGATTTTTCTGCACATAGCATTTATTCCTTAATTTATGTGGGTAACTTTGGTATGTTCAAGGTTTACACATCCCTTTCAATTGAGGATTTATATCTGCCCTTGCTAAATTGTTTTTATCTTCTCTTTCTAAATTCTATGCAGGACCAATCGATCTGCTCATTCTATAACCGATACGGCATATGCAAGTTTGGTCCTGCTTGCAAGTTTAACCATCCTGAAAACTGGGACAACTCATCTCCCGATGTAGTTGGACTGTCCAGAAGTGAAATGGAAGCTGGTTTCCCTTAAATCAGCATGTTGTTGTCAAACGTGTGCATGTAATTTCTAGGGCTAGACTATGTTTCTAGATGATGGATTCATGTTAGATGGCAAATGCCTTTTTGGTTTCTCTTAGCTGCGGGAGGATGGAGGATGTCATTGTGTTGTTAGTGATTAACTTATTAATGCACAAGCAGACTAGGTTATATGTAAATGTATATTTATACATGAAGTCTAGTTGCTGTAAAATGCATCGAGATAACTTCTATAATCTACCAATCCTAAATTAGTTGCTGCGTAGCTGGCTAAAGCAACTCTGAATTGGAAGAGGATAGTTTGTTTGAACAGTTTGATAATGTTGGTTGCAGTTACGCCTCTCTATTGAGAAGATCAGAAGGACATCGTTGTTTTCTTCCTTCTCCATAGTGATGGTTTAGTAGACTACAGATATCAGAAAGCTACCATCCTTTTACAAGAACGACAACTGTATAACTAGATGAGTAAAACGGATAGTCATGGTTCAATGTTCAAACAGAAGTAGAAATAATACGACTAAAATGTCCAAATGGTCCCTTACATTTGGGCTTATTAGATTTTACGTTCTTAACATTAACATTTCATTACTGTAGTCTCAAACATTATATTTTCACATTTTTTTGGTCCCATTTCACTGTTTCGGCTACTTTCCCGTCTAACTCGATGTTGACCGGTAGTTGACTTGCCGGAATCAAGGGTATTTTCGTCTTTTGACTTAATTTGAACTTTCATTGAAATTTAAATCATTAAAAATATCATAAAATTCACATTTAATTTATTTAATTGCTAAAATATTATTCAATAATTTAAAATATTATTATAAAATTTAAAACTTACATTATTTTTAAAAAATTTCTTTTTCTATTTATCATTTATGCTGGATACAAAATAAATATTAGTACGTTCTATTTTTAACTCCATATCACTAAAATATTTTACCGTGCTAAGTAACTAATTCAAAATTCAATTTTTTGTTTTAAAAAAAAAGCAAACTAAATTTTTTATCCGAATTTTCACCTACTAATATTTTATTCAGTCGAAGTAAAAAATCCAGCAGGCCCAAAGTGAAGAAAATTGAGGGGGCGAAAATCCGGATAAAAAATGGTTTATTTTAATTTATAGTTTGAATTGGAGATATAATTTAAAATGTGGTTTAGTGAAAATTCAAAAAGTTATTGAGATAGAAATTCAAATAAAATAATATTATCTATACACCACCACCTTCACACCTCCACCAATGCTACTCGCTACCGGACCACCTCCTGCCGCCGCCGGACTGCCTCCTGCCGCGGCTGGCTTCTTTTATTTGAATTTCTATCCCAACAACTTTTTGAATTTTCACTAAAACCACATTTTAAATTATATCTTCAATTCAAGGTAATAACTAAGCCAAAACTTAAATAAACCATTTTTTATCTGAACTTTCACCCTACAATTTTCTTGCATTTTTTTTTAAAAATTAAATTTTTAATTAATTATTATAGCGCGGTAAAATTTTAGAAATAACTCAAGATTTATTGTAGCTGTCAAAGTCAAAAATTTTGGTTTTGTTTTGTTTTAATTTGAATTTTGAATTATTTCTTGTGACTCGGTAAATTTTTAAAGTTACAGTAGGCGGTTAAAAGTGCAACATAATTAACATTTATTTTAGTAAAGAAAAAAGTAACTTTGAAAATAATTTAAATTTTTAAATAATATTTTAAATTAATAATAATATTTTAACAATTAAATAATAAATGTAAGTTTTTATAATATTTTTAATGATTTAAATTTTAATAGAAGTTTAAATTATATAAAAAGATGAAAATACCCCTGATTCCGGCATGTCAACTGCCGGTCAACATTGAGTTGGACGGAAAAATGGTCGAAACAGTGAAATGAGACCAAAAAAGTGTGAAAACATATTGTTTGGAACTATGATATTGAAATGTTAATATTAGGGACATAAAATCAAGTAAGATAATAAATACGGAAGTTGCGGTCAATAAGGTAGGGATCATCATAGCCCAAATATAAGGGACCATTTGGACATTTTAGTCAAATAATATTGTAGAAACAATAACAATGATAATTTCAATCAAACCCTTCTGAGAACCGGTACGACAACTAGTGAATGCGTTGATCTTCAACGTGTATTAACGCTGCTGTGTGAAGTCCACTGGTGGTGTATAAAATTGGAACTCTGCAATGGATTCAACCATACAAATTGAATCAGATGGTTGGGTAAAAGACAAAGCTTCAAACTGTGAAGCATCCATTTTTTTGGTATCTGTTCTGGTGAAGATGATCACATTTAATCATTTCTTCCAAGACAGGATAAAAGTGATCCTAAATACAGTATCCCCTATTTATCATGGTATTAGTCATTAATGGTGGTAGTTAATTATGTAGAACGTAAGTGGTAAGGAATAAAGTAGAAAAATTGATAACGTATTACAAGTAGAAACTAAAATAAAATGAAATACAATGTAATACAGAATACGTCTAAAAAATAGGTAGGAAGGGAAAAGCTTTTGCTCTTTGACTTCAAGTGGAAAAGGCTAACCATTTTTTCACCTACCAAACACCTGCAGATTGCCCCTTTTTCAATAAATCAACTCTATAAGGTTGTTCTTTAATTTCTATAATACATAATCATGAACATACAAAAAAAACAAAAAAAAAAAAAAATTTACAACGATGGAACCCTTGGTCTCATCACTGAGGCCGGATCGAAAATGAAAAAGATGCAGTATGTGTCTCACGTTGGATTATCAAAATTTACGAACAAAAAAACTTCCAAATGAAGTATAGGTTTAATGCTAGACAATTTTAAGTGTCTCAGGAAATCTCTGAAACTGTTAATCGTGTGAAAGTTCCACTTACACATCAAGAAGCCCAGACACCAAAGAGAAACAGGTTGCAGCTGGAAGGGTGGCGAAATGGTGGCATGACTGGCAATCGGGAATCAAGGAAGCAAGACATATGGCCCTGAAATGAGTACATTTGAGGAAGGGTCTCTTCTTCAAAACTATACAGCTTCCACAATATCAGGCATCTTGTCCATCTTGGTTCAGAATCTTCCGTGGCGTGGAACAGTCTTCTCTAGACGTGTACTCTTATCAACTCAATATGTACAGGCGCATGAAAAGAGAAACAAAATCTCATTTTACCTTTGATGGATGGTTCAAAAATGGTGGAATCAGTGGTATTAGTATACGGGAGCGGGATCATAATTCGTCATGACTCACCATCCTCGCCAAAAAGTTTAAGGCCCCAATTCCAGTTCATATCCTCACAGTGTCGGATATATGGAACCATTTTACCTATGTCAATCATTCTCTTGCTTTTGCAGTCATTGTTCGGTGGGGCCTGGAAACAAGGTTCCATTGACACTCCCCGCTGGCAAACTGGATCCGAATTAGGTTTGTAATCCTCTGGCTTGTAAAGAATCCATGGCTTCAAATCTCCAAGACTCTGCGCAACATAACCAAATGTTGACTTTGCGGTAGTCACCAACTTATCAGACAAGCTCAATAAATAAATTTCTGCCCATGCTTTCATATTGTGCATTTGGTTTTTACTATGCTGATACTCTTCATGGCTTGGCTGGTATACTTTAACCACTTCTCCAGTGACTGTTGGATGTTCCTGGTACATATCTCTCACTGCCTCAAAGTAATCAGGGGTTAGAGATGTCATAAGGACAGCTTTAGTCTTAGATATTCCAGATGTGATGTTCATAGGCAATCCCTTCAAAGTCTCATTGACTCGCGGTAATATATTCTCCTTGATTACACAACCCAAAATCTGCTTCATCACTTGCTTAAATGGAGCATCACCAGTATCTAAAACTCTTACCTGGATGGCAATCGTTTCATCTGCATTTGCTAGATAATCATTGTAATACCTAACGATAGCCCTCCAAACCGCGTTAGCTGGATGAAAGAGGTACCTTCCCAAGAAGTGAAAAACTGTTTCTTTCTCCGGAAAGAGGTCAGCTAGTTCTTGTTGAAAAGATGGCATCAGGAAAAGAGAAGGGGCAAAGTATAAATCTGATCGAACAAGCAGCCAAGGAACTTTCTGAAGAACAGTATGATCTTGATCACAAAAGAATCGCTTGTCATCGTCGGTATAGTCACTAACAAGATGAAGGTACACATACGATGGCACTAAAGCTGCTTTTGAACTTCCAAAAGCATTTTTCTTCAGCAGATTGCCAAAAGTTCTCCGTGATTTCCTATTGAAGCTCCCAAACTCATCAATTATAGGGAAATCAGATGGAACTAGCCAAGAAGTCTCAGGAAATGGTTCACAAAAAAGATCGGAAAAGTGGGCTTCTGGATCAACTAGGAGGATTCTGTTTGTTAAGAGAGCATATAGGAAAGAAGAAGCCAAGGTGATCATTCTATTTCCTAAACCAGCACGTGTTAACCAGACGATATATTTACAATCTGCTGGACCAGCTGAACTGTTGTATCTTCCAGACTTGAAATACTCCAAGCTTCGGTTGAAGGACTCCGTGTAGGGTCCACATCGTTTATGCAGGGCTTCGTAGCTGCGTAATCTAGAGATGAGATGGGGAGATGGTCTACGTACTGGTCCTTTTCTATACCTTGCGAATTGATACCTACTTACACATGATTTTTCATCTAATCCTTCAGACAGAAGGCCACCAAGAAGCTTCTCCTGTTGTTTATCTGCAGGCCAGGTATAATTTGCTTCTACATCTGGAATGAACATAAAACCAGTGAAAAAGCAAACCAAACTGATAATTTACACATGCAATGGAATTTATTTGGCTGTTTAATCATCAAAGTATTTCAGCGTGATTCCAGAAGTAATGCAAAAATGTAGATGGTCATATGATTCCATAAACAACAACAGCATGGTATAGCATGATAACTGGAACTAGAAGATATTGATCAAGCAAGAAGTAAATATATACCTTCTTCAAAAGGCCTGAAGTCAAGACCATTCCATAAGTGGTCAGAATGTAGCTTCTTGAATATTAAGGCTAGAAACAGAACTGAGCTCATTAAGCCAACCACTGAAAACACCAATATCTTGACTGGCTTCCAGCTGCGTTGAGGTTGGGGACTCTTTGATATAGGTTTATTTCGATTATCCACAAGCTTTATTTGCTCTTCGGAGTCCATTGTTGTCATCTCTTCCATATCTAGTAGGAATCATCAAAATTAATATCAAGTGCAAATCAAAAGTTCAAACTATCAAATACTTTTCATGCTAGCTTCATGGATAACTCTTCTCAGAAAATAAGAATTTCAGCATTTTCCAGGAATTAGTTTGAAACGTTATCGGGTTATATACTTTCTGATTACTAATTAGGCACACGATGAACTCTATCGAAGATCAATAGATTCAGATACAGTTACAACTGGGTGCATATAAATAAGTGGATGCTCGTTTAAGGCACCAATAGTAGATTAGCATCCACCAGAATTTTGCATGGGTTTTGCAAGTTTGACGTTTTCTATAATTACTCAATGCTTACTATGATTTGAAAATGAGAAATGCATACATATAATTTATTAGAGTAGCTTTAAGTCAATAATGTGTTTCCACAGTCACGATATGGAATTATTCTTAAGGCAGAGAGTATTTATGATACCCATCGATGAATGAAAACACTGCCACTATTTTAAAATGATAATGAACTACGAATGTTATAGCCCAAGTGGTAACTACTTCTAATTGATCTATTCCTAATTATTTAACCATTATAATTACTAAATGGTTACCATAATTGAAAATGAGAAATTCAAACATATATAATTTATTAGAGTAACTATAAATAATAATGTGTTTCCACAGTCACGCTACGGAATTTATCTATCTAAAGGAAGAAAGTATTTACTGGTACTCATTGATGAATGAAAACACTGCCATCATTTTTTAAATGATAATGATGTCATTACTACGAATGTTATCGTCCAAGTGGTAGCTACTTCTAGTTGATATTTAGCCATACTTCTATTTAACACTAGAAATTTGGTTTTTAACTACTCCAAGTAGATATCTTTATTACTATCCCCAACAATGTGATTTAGCTCCATAAAAGGAAATTCATTAATGCCACAAATAGAAAGTTGGTTTTATGCTTCTTAATTGTTATTGCTATAAAAGGAAATTCATCATAATTTGTTTTTTTTTTTCTTCATCAAATTTTGATCAGTAATTGCAGCAAGATGTCTAAAAACGGAAGGTAGCTGAAAGAATAGGAACACAGCTCGTTTAAGTAATCTGACCAGAAAGTTTTTACTCAATATGTATTTCAGTTTTCCTATATACAAATCTGCATGATTATACTAGTTATAGAAAGTTTAGAATCTATGTGGCTTTTATATCTTCAATGGAACTTTGAAAATTTTGATTAAGCAAAAGGGTTCAACACATAACATTCCAGTAGTATACCACAAAGTTCAAAACATAACATTACAGTAGTATACTACCAAGTTCCTAACACAAGACCACTTGTGGGCTGTAGCAGTTTGGTCTAAGATACTCCCTCCGTCCCATAATTATTGTCCACTTTGAGTTTTCATTTTTAGTTCAAATTGTACTAAAAATGAAATCTCAAACTGGACAATAATTTTAGGACAGAGAGAGTATTTCCTTATCTGAATAGAAATATTTCCTAAACTCAATGAAAATACCTCATTTTTGAGTTTGTTCTAAGATAATTCCTTATACTGCATGCTCTTAGTCCATTGAACCTTTTGAGTTATCTCCTTACTTTTTCTGGTCTTTCAAATCTGCATGTGTGGTGGAAAGCACATTCAAGTATGCAAACCTGATCAAGTATTGGAACTTGAGGTCTCGGATTCAAATGTTTGACTCCTTTATACATTATCTTGTTTTTGTTGAGTATATTTACATTTTGTTTAGTAGCTATTTACTGGTCCAGTTCTTGATTTCAATTTCAACAGATCCCTGTTGTTCTTTTGTCCATTAACTAATTCACATATCAATTAATAACTGCAATAATTTAGAACTAGACCCAAACTTAAATGGAAACCATATAAATGATTAGATGAATTGAGAACTGCATCTAATTTGGTAACTATCATCCAGCAGAAAACTAAACAATCAGATTTGGACCACAGCAGCTACGAAGCTTAGTACATAAAGAATGAACTACTAACATTCATTCTGAAAATCTTAAATATTCTCACATAAAAAATATACTAACATTCTTCAAAGCCATAAAGCTATTCTCTTTATGATGAAAAATGCTTTCTTGGCAAAAGAAAAAAAGGCAAAACATAAACAATCACAATCATCCCATTACAAACCAACATAAAATGCTGAGCTCTGCGGACAGATTTAAGTTAAAGACAATACTATTAGCCCATTAGTTGACCCAAAGCAAAGAACTCAAAAACAGAACCATATCTCAAGATGTAGAAATGAAAAGGAGTTAAAAGAGAAACCTGAATCTGGGTTAAGAACCACTTTTTGGAATTAAAATTCTCCGGCAGGAGGAACTTCCCCGGATTGGTTTTCAGTATGAAAAAGATATTATATGTATTTCATTGTGTTACTGTCAAAGAAAAGGAAGGAGGAACAAGTGAGCAAGAAAGTGGCCATTGATGTAAATGAAGGAAAGAAATGAATGAAATTCTATTAAAATATAACTACACAAATATGTGGATAGAAGAATGGCAAGTTGGCAAGTTGGCATCTTGGTTTGTTTCTGTTACCTATAAAAAAAAATGAGAAAAATGCCATTGTCACGTCGCCTTTAAACTTTAAACGGCGAATTTGCATTTTCTTCCCCTCAAAGGTTTGGCTTGGAAAGAAAACAACCCCATTATTTGGACATTTAACCAATAAACCCGGTTTCTCAAATGAAAAAATGGACATGTTTTTTGCGGGAAATGAGTGAAATTAATTAGAACTTTAAAGAAAAACATATTCCCATCACAAAATTGACTACCACGATTGATTTTCTTTAAAAGAAAAAATTTCTCTTTCGACACGTTTCTTTTTGAACTTGTGTTTTGGCGGGAAATGAATGAAATTAATTAGAACTTTAAAGAAAAACATATTCCCATCACGCAATTAATTACCACGATTGATTTTCCTTAAAAGAAAAAGTTTTTCTTTCAATACGTTTCAACCACTTCTCAATTTTATATACATCTAAAAACTTAGAGTGCTCGACACAGCGAAACTAATCCAACATTAGGGGAAAAAACATAAAATCAACTTTAAAAAAATAGAAGTAATAATGTTCATTCTACTAGCACCTTAATCTACTAAGGGGGGAAAAATCTTACCTCTGAAGTAATAATAGTAGGAAACCATACTCCACTACTTGAAATTCTAATAAAATTAATATAAAGATAACTAATTCAACAATTACTAAAAAGGAAAAACACCTACGTCCTAATGCTACCAACAAATTCATGACTAACAAACATATGACAAAAAAAGAGAAAAGCCAAACCCCCTCAAAGGAAAAAAGCAGCTCTTGTTATTTCCATTTTTGGTGATAAACTAACATTTAGGGAAGATAGTGGATTTTTTAGGGGCTTTTTCGCACCATTTAGCGATCGACTTTAATGAATTATTGTTCAAGGGTGTAATCTGTTATATTTCCAAACGGTAGGGAGTTTTTGTCTTCATGCCGAATTGACAAGGGAAATCTATTAATTTGCCCAAAGCAAGAATATTAGGAACTTAATACTGAGAAGAGAACGTGGCTGATTCCTCTCAAACTGCCATGGGGTCATATAGAAACTTAAAGAAAGCAAAGTTCAACAGTAACAACAATAATGGCGGGGCCTAACTTTGGCTTTGTTTTTTTGACATTAAATTATGGATTAACGATTTTTTTGGGTGCGAGTGGCTGAAAAATTTTGGAATTGGATCCATCTGAAGCACCGATAACGTTAATGACAACGATTAAACCGAGAATATGTCATACTTTAAACATGCGTCAAAGAAATGGAAAACAAGTTAGACACATTCTATTCCAAAAGTAATCATCTGAATATTTTTTGGGACGGAAAATGCGATTGTTTAGGCAATAACTGATTGGGTGTTGATATTGCCAGGACAAATATTTATCCTGGATGTTATTAAGTCTTGTAAGGAGAAACACCTTCTGGTTGTCTTTTCTGAATTGGTTATCATTCAGTGCTGACTGATTCTAACTTATGAATGAAGTGTTCTTTCGGAAAAAAAAAAAAAAAGTAATATACATTCTATTCCAAAAAATAATCATCTTATACGTTCCAAAATAATTATCTAAATTTTATTTTTATTTTATTATTAAATTTTATGGAAATTAAAATTCTAAACATGATAATAATTTTAGAATAGTATCAGTATAACTTTTCTTTTTGGAGACGGAAGGAAATAAATAAAGTAATCAAAATGATCACAACCATTGACCCTATGAAAACCACCAGCTTTATCCTTGTGGATTTTTCTTTTTCAGAATCATTCGTATTCCTTGTGGATTTTATTAAAGTAATCGAGAATATCATAATCTTGTCCGGCTGCTTCGAGGAGGTGATTAGAGAAATGTAGAAGTACGTAAGGATTAGAGACTTTTTCTTCATAAAGAACATTGAATATTCCGTAATTTGCAGGCTTAAAAATGTTTTAAATTTAGGATATTATGATCCGGTCTCTTGTTAGGTTGGTTTATAATTATATAACTAATGTGTGGAGGAGTTTTCCAGTTAAACAATTTTTCCGTCTCCCATAATTGTTTTATTTGTTGGAGTAAAACAGTCATTTTAAAACAAAAGGGTATTTAAATATTTTATTGGGAAAATTATTTCACTTGAATCTATCTACAGTCAATCTTTGGAATCATTATTCATGGGAATGTCATCGTGGCAATGTTGGATATTACGCTTGTAATTTATTATGTGTCTCATAATTTTAAATATAAATGGTTTAATTTAAATTTTCACTTTTTGATACAATTTGATTATACCAGATATTTAACTCATCACTAATGGAATTTTGTTCACAGAATGGCCCATAATAAACAGGAAGACAAATAGTAAGTCGGTAAGATTTGAATTTTTTTTTTTTTTACCTTTCTGTTTCTTCGATACTTGTGTCGAGTTTATTTTTTAAAATTTGGCGGTAAGTCCATTGACATTTCTGAAGTCAGATTGGCGATTTCTCGAAATTAATCGGAATAACTGATGTACGAGCAAAAAATGAAGGTGTCTAGACAAATGATGGTTCTGGGAAGCGGGATATGAAACTGTAATCTTATAAGATCATTAGATTAGATTTCGAATATTATTAAATAAATGTTCCTTGATCTTGTATCTTTCTATGACAATTACAAACCAATTTTAAGTGTAAATCTATCACATTCAGACTAATCTCTATTTGAATTAAATAAAATATTATTCTAACAATTTCGTGGCAAATTTTCTTCTTACTATGGATTCAATATAATAACCTTCCTCTCAATTTTTTTTTTTTTTTTTTTAGGAATCGAAGTGACAAAGCTGAATCTTAGAGGATCGTAGCACCAAAGCCATAACCTTCCTCTCAATTTTTACAACATGTTAGTTGAAGTTTGTGCACAAACCAGTAAAAAGTTGTGCTTAATGTCCAAAATATCTATTAATTGAAAGTATTCCTTTTAGCAAAATAGTTTACATTGATGTTCACACCAATAAAATAAATAAATTTTCTGGAAGTGATACCTAAAAAATTGACACATCATTTAAATTAAAACCAATATTTTTCTTAAAAATAATCATGTAATATCATTTCATAAATAGAAAAGTTACTGATGAGTTTGTTGGGACCCGTAAAAATTAATCTGATTTTCAAAGAGACCAAAAATTAACTATCTGAGACAATGGAATCAGGTTGAATTTTAAGAAAGCGGGCTTTTAATTCTTAGTTTTATAAAAATAACAAAACTGGGGAATGTGAAGATATTTTTTTTCTCTCTTTTGTCTATGGGCGACTTCACCTTCACTACGTGAGATCGACACTTCATCTTTCAGTGTGCTCCGGTGCATCCATAATGGTTGCGAAAGCGAAGAAGAGGGGAAAGCAAGTAACAGAAGAAGTTGAGCAACCAGATGAAGAACGCCGATGGACTCTATTTGATCTGCATCATCTGGAACGATAAGTATTCAAAAATCTAGTTCTGAAGTTGCTTGTCAAAATTTACTTGAGCAATTATGCAATACGAAGATAGTATAAGTTAGAGAAGTATCAGAAATAAAGTCCGATGTAATTGAAGCGGCTAGTCATGAAACTAGGGTTACAGAGGACAAAGGAGTTTGAGGGAAAGTCAACCCTAGCTTTTTTTATTATTTTTTTTAACTCAACCCTAGTTTAGTGTAGGATATGAACAAAAAATTAGAATACATTGGGCCTCAAATGATCCAGGATAAAACAGTAGCAAAAGTTCAAAAAAGTGAAATTCAGGAAGCCATCGATTACTGGAGATCGTCTGTGATATGTTATGTATTAGGGGCTAATTCTCCTTTTTTGTTGTAATGGTTATTTGTGTAGAATCTGGGGGAAATGGGGAGTTGATAAAGTACTGCTTATGGACAATGGAGTATATATTGTCAGATTCAAGTCAATCACTGCTAAAGAGGAAGTTTTAAGGAGTAGTATTTATCACTTTAACAACACACTCTAATCGTGAAGGATTGGTCTGTTGACGTAGGGTTTTAAGTTGGATGATGTGAAATTGGTTCCCGTGTGGGTACAACTCCCAAAATTGAAGTTTAAATATTGGACAACAAAGACTCTAAGTAGAATTACTAGTGTTCTGGGTAAGGCTGTTGAAATGGATGAAATGACCACTACGAGAAACAAAGCTAGATTTGTTGGACTGTTGGCGGAGGTGCAAATCATAGAGAAAATGCCAACTGAAATATGGTTTGAGGATGAGAATGGAGTGCTTCAAGAGCAAAAAGTAACACATGAATGGCTCCCTGTAAAATTTTCAAATTGTTCTGGATTTAGACATAAAGCAGCTGCTTATAGGAAACCAATTATAAAGACATGGAAGGTGAAAAAGATAGATGATTAGCAAAAGGAATCTTCAGTTGATGAAGTGCATTATAGATCAGATGGTTCCAGCAATAATCCGCACTTGAAAAGAATAAAAGAGTCTATGGTACAGGCAGAAATAGAACCTAAAAAAGGAAAAGTTATAGATCAACCACAAGAAGAGAATATTAACTTACGGAGAGCATGAAAACAAGTTGAAGCAAGGAAAGAGACGAAAGGAGTGGAAGTTAAGGTGACAAGACAGAAGCAAGGAGGTAGGCATAATAATGATAAAGCTAGTTTTCCTAATACATGATCTAGCAATCATGAGCAACCTACTTAGTTAGAATATAAAGAGATTTAATAGTCTCCTGATACATAGAGAGATAGATAACCTGCTCTCTACAAATAAAATGGGGTTAGTTGGACTCCTAGAAACTAAACTAAATGGCGAAAAAATAGCAGAAGTGATGAAATAGAGGTGGTATAGTTATGAATATATAAGCAATCATAAACCAGTAGAGAAGGGGAGAATACAACTAATGTGGAGGAAGAATGAATATAAAGTGGCTGGCATAAGGGTGGATCAACAATTTATACACTGCTATGTGCGAGGAGTAAATAGCAGCAAGAAGCTTATTATCACTATTGTCTATGCAGACCAACCTCAAGGGAGAACTAAATTGTGGGAGT